CTCATGAGATGAAAGTGCTTTTGGGTAATCACCCATGCTCTTATACACAATACCGATGTTGTTATAGGATATAGCCAAATCAGGATGATTGGAAGGAAGTGATTGTTGTAGAATTGCAAGATCTTTCTCATAATAAGAAAGTGCTTTTGGATAATCACCCATATTCTGATACACACTACCAGTGTTGTTATAGGAAGCACCCAAATCAGGATGATCAAAAGGAAGTGATTGTTGTAGAATTTCAAGAGCTTTTTCATGAGATGAAAGTGCTTTTGGATAATCACCCATGCTCTTATACATACTACCGATGTTGTTATAGGAACGACCCAAATCAGGATGATTGGAAGGAAGTGATTGTTGTCGAATTGCAACGGCTTTTTCATAATTAGAAAGTGCTTTTGGGTAATCACCCATGCTATCATACACATTACCGATGTTGTTATAGGAAGCACCTAAACCAAGATGATTGGAAGGAAGTGATTGTTGTCGAATTACAAGGGCTTTTTCATGATAAGAAAGTGCTTTTGGATAACCACGCATCATTCCATATACATTACCGATTCTGTTATAGGAATCTCCTAAATCAGGATGATCAGAAGGAAGTGATTGTTGTCGAATTGTAAGAGCTTTTTCATGAGATAAAAGTGCTTCTTGATATTCTCCTTGATTACATTTGACCCAACCTAGTTGATAATAAATCGATGCCTTGTCACTCTCGTTTCTTGTTTGATCAAGTAAAACTTCAAAAACTTCTTGAGCTTTGGTAAATTGACCCATTTTAATCAGTAATAATCCCAATCTGTACCATCCTTTCGAATCTGAAAAAGTCTCCTGCCGGATACAGTCAGTAAGAGTTCGAAGATCTTGATCGTTGTCATTAGTCAATGTTAAATTCACTTGATAGCAATGATTATTTCCATCCATTGGTTTAATATCTCTAATGCGAAAAATGGTATGCATAGAGAAGAGAACTTCATCTTCTACATGAAAATAACTAACATCACTAACAGAAGCAAATGGAATAGTTGAATGAGTAGGATCAATTAATATAACAAATAATATTCCAACAAGATCAGGATTTGTAGCAGCTTGTGGTGCGAAACAGAGAGAAACATCACGATTTCTACTAGTTGATAAAAAGTTATTAAATGAAAGAAGTCCACCTTTAGTTTTCGTCATTTCGATGAAATCTTTTTTTGAAAGACATTGCCCACGATAAAGTGTAAATGTTTTACCTGACTGATGATCATCAAATTGTTTCGAATGGAGTCGTTGAATATCACGATGTAGATCATTAATAAAAAAACCCATTCGAACAATAATATCAACATCCATGGATCTTAATGCTTGATTGAGCATCGAATATAAAAAATATTGATAGGTATACCACCAAATGGATGTTTGATCATGATAGTCACGTTCCAGTTTTTCAATATTTTGTAATTCATACTCATTTTCGACAAATGCTTTACGACAATAAGTAATAAATTCTTTGATATGTTCAGCTTCGAAGTCGATAGTTAATAGGATCTCTTTCAAGATTTGAGTATACATGAATGATGGATCTAATTGGTCCAATTTCTTGTTTGATGCCACAAAGCTGATTGAGATGGCATTTTGCTCACATTGATGAGCAGCTGGTTTGAGAGCGCCACAAATTGATGTTATATCTGTGAAGATTCCTTTTATTTTAGGCCATTGTTTGGTCCATTGTTCATGCGATTCTGGATTGTTACAAAAAATAAAAATGGTATCTACTTGAGACATATCATGCACATGAGGTACAATATGTTGTCCAAGTGAATCAGAAACAATCATACATACTTTGTTATTGGTAATGGTTCGAATAAATTCAAGACACTGGTCGCCATCTGTAAACGTGTTTACGTTGTTAACTACACGTTTTAATTGCTTGATTGTATTACTGCAATCAGTATTATCATCATCAATATTGTTGTCCAACCAAATCAAGAGGACACTTTGCATTCTTTGCATGTTCATACGTCGATTTACAATTGCACTCGTGGAGAAATCAGACACTGGCTTAACATGGCTTGCAATATCGAATTTGGTAGCAGCTGTTGCGTTCTTATTTCCCATTACTTTTAATGCGAATGTTTTGTATTTGACTTGCTTGGTTAAAATTTGCGAATGAAAGAACCATTAACGTAGCTCATTTTAAAGTGTCTCTAATTCCTATCGAGATTTGTTTTTCTATTTTTTTGAATTCGATAACAACGCCTTTTTCAGTAACTATTGTAGATGTTGTCAAGAAAAACAAGCGAAGAGCAACACAAACATTCCTTATTAATGAACAGAGAACGCAAAAGGAGTGGTTCACTATTTTTACAATTGTCAGTCACTAAAATATTTACTGGAAAGAAAGTTTACCACGTATTTTGATGAAGTAAAAAAAGGATCTCCAAGAAATTTTTTTTCTTTCTCCTCTCATATTTAATGATGTTGAAGACTCGAACGTTGGAAATAGTCATTTTGCCGAAGACATTATAATTTATAAAAATCGACAAGATACTGCTATTACAACACAAAACACTTAGATTCCTTTATTTCTAAAGTCCATTATATGAAACATGGATAAAACTTTTTAAATTTTGTTCTCTTACTACTTAACAACAACATATAAAATGATATGTAATACTGTATGAAAACGTTGAAAAGAGATGATTGCAAAAAAGTAGATTTATTTTATGCTATTTATACAATATTATTTATTCTTCATGACCATGCAGAATAAGTTATTCTACAGAACGCACCGTACTTTGTCTTTTTATCAAGATTTAAATGTAAAAAAATATTGAGAATATACACATATTAGAAGTTTTCAAGCAGGATAATATTTTTCTTCTTTTTTGTTTCTATAAAGGAAATGAACTTTTAATCAGCAGTTTTATTGTTATTTTATACGGAAGGATGTGTATTAAATAATAAGCCACTAACGATTTAACTCAAAGTTGTTCGATTGTTTTATTTCTGATACATTTTTTTCATAACAACAACAACATTAAGTATTGCTATTATTCAATAAACCTAATATGAATTGATCATATGATAAATATATATTTGATCAATTACTCAAAAAATATTATAACAAATACAAAAAATAAATTCAAAGATATTATTCGAGAATTATATTTGTATTTCTATCTGATGTATTAATTTTATGATTTAAAACAATATTTAAAATAACAACTAAAACAGTAATCATAAAAAATAGTATTCCAATAGCAATATATTTTAATTTATTTATTGCTTGTTTTCGTTGAGCATCTTTTCTATAATCCATAATACCAATACCAAATACTTGATTTTTCTGTAATAATAAATTACTTCGTTCTAATAAAATATTTAATTGTTCATTTCGTTCAATATTCGAATTAATTGCTGTTTGAAGTTCCTGTTCAGTTTGATTTGCTAAATCATGTAATTTATTTAATTCAACTTGACTTAGATCATTTTTTGTTGCTAATACTGACGAATTTATATTTAATGTTATTGGTGTATTATTCATAATTAATAGATTTATTAAAGCAATTAGATTAAAAAGATCCGATAATTTTTGTTCAATAAGAAAAAATGATCGTATTATAATGGTATGAAAAAAACAATCCATTCGTATTTAAGAAAAAAAAGGAATGATAAAACAAAACAAGCGCACTTTTTCAATTAAATTCCTATAAGAGATTAAAATACGAAATAATAATTGAGATGTGACAAAAAAATGATGTAAATATTAAATTCGATGTATATAAGTATTAAATCAACCGTAATAGATGTTTATCATATAGTTGCAATTAATCCATTTTTTTACTATAAATATGTGTTCGTTATGATCCTCTTAATAATCATGTCATTATAAACAACAGCAATGGCGGAAATTAGTTTTTTTACAAGAATGATTTCTATGGAAATTCTTTTCAAATATTAGCTCTAAATGTCAAAAAACGATGTTTATATATAAAATGCCTATGCTATTAATTGTGTACTGTCAACTTACTGTTTATGATAGTGATCGATGTGCGTATTTATTTATTTTCTTTTCATTTGTATTATTCTAATATTTGAAAATACGCCTTGATTCGATATAATAGTGTTCATGTTCAATTTCTCTTGAGACTTTTTTCAATGAACAACATAAACTTAATTTGTTTTTATTCATATACTATCGAACGAACGTTAATAGAAAAAGAATAAGAAGTCGACAGAACACAAAGAAGAAAAAAAAGAAAGAAAAAAAAACATACTCGACAGACAAGTTTAGCGTAGAGAGGTGCATGTGACATCGTAAACAGAAAATGAAAAGAAAAATTTTACATTTACTTCTGTTGTTAGTCATTTCTATTTTGGACTAATCGAGCTGTTTTTCTCCTTTGTAAAGTACGTAGCATAATCAAAAGTGTGTTAACCTAAATAACCACGACAAAAACAAGAGCAATATATGAAGTAATATATACATGATTCGTAAAAACGTTAAAAGATACGTATATGATAGAAACAAACCAGTCGAAAAAGAACAACGATAATATTGACGAGAGTAGACATCGTTATTATTTTGGCTATTAGTGAAGAAAAAAAACAGAGTGTAGAACAATATAACACGCGCACAATCATCATCGATACACATATTTTAACGATTAGTTTTATTCTATGTCGGTTATTGTTGGTAAAACAGTTGATGTTCTCGATTGTTATGAAGGTCGGGATGCTGCTATTACATTTACACTTTATTTATGCTGTTTATTAAGTGGATATTATCCACGTAAATCAAGTATGCATAAATGTTTACAACGTATATTTAAACGTTTAGAAGATGCACGTGTTGTTTTACGTCTCTA